GGACAAGGCATGGTGAACCTTTGGTGTCAAACCATAGACAAATATTGGCTGGGTGCCAAGGATGGAAATGGTAACACATGTGGGTGTTACTTTATGAAAGGGTTTACCGTTCGATGAGGACATCAAACTTCATCTATGGGTGGTGGAGTTGTGAGACACAAAATCCCTAGGCCCCAAAGTGGAGCCGGAAGGGTGCCATGTGGTGGTGGCCAAAGCGAAAACCAAACGAGCGTAACACATTTGGACTAAAAGCCCCGACTTGGAAGGTCGAGAGCGGGAGTGGAACTCCCAACAAAGGGCTCGAGGAACGAGCACGAAGCGAGCCATAAGCGAGGCTCCAAAAAGGGACCAAAAAGGACCAACACATGACACGTGGAAGTGTCCGAGATGGACCCGAGTTGGGGTCCGAAGTGGAGTCCGAAGTGGAGTCCGAGATGGACCCGAGATGGAGTCCGAGATGGAGTCCGAGATGGACCCGAGATGGAGTCCGAGGTGGAGTCCGAGATGGAGTCCGAGATGGACCCGAGATGGAGTCCGAAGTCGAGACCAGGACCAAGACCGAGACCGGGACCGAGATCGAGACCGAGATCGGGACCGAGACCGAGACCGAGGCCGAGTCCGAGTCCGAGTCCGAGTCCGAGTCCGAGTCCGAGGCCGAGTCCGAGTTCGAGTCTGAGAGGGTGAAAGCCCAAAGCGTTTGTCTCCCAGACCCTGGGGGGTTTGGTGAGCTCCAAAAGTATAGTAGGGGGAGGACTGCAATGGAGCCAGTTTGGCCAGGAAAGGCCAGTTTGGCCCAGGAAGGCCGGACCCAGTGTTGGGTGATGAGCTGCCCACTGGGAAGTCCAAAACTAGAGTGAACACAGACCGATAAGTAGGGTAGCTTGGTGAAGTGTTCAAGAGCCGGCTCTAGTTCCCCCGGGAGATCGACTGGCCGATGCTCCGATCCCGGGAGATCAATTACGAAATCCACGACAAGGAGCTCCTTGCCATCGTGGATTCCTTTGGAGAGTGGTGCCGTTTCTTGGAGGGGGCGGGCCATCAAACAATAGTTTGGACGGATCACAAAAATCTCGAGTACTTTGCCACTTCCCGAGTTTTGAGCCATCGTCAAGCAAGGTGGGCACAATTCCTGAGTCGGTTTGACTTTGTTATCAAGTACAGACCTGGAAAGCTTCAAGGCCTTCCTGATGCTCTTTCAAGGCGCTCCTATCTCAGTCTTAGGCCTGGTAATCCTGCCTTCGATCAACAGGATCAAGTTATCCTCGGTCCTGATCGGCTTCAAGTTATGGCAATTTCCCTGGCCCCTCAGGACTCCTCCTTGATGGATGCAATCAGAAACGATCTCCAATCTGATGACCTCGCCAACAATATTTTCACCCATCTTCAGGCTGGACACCCAGTGACTCCCGACTACTGGCGATTTGACGAGTTCGAGTTCTTAGATGGCTTATTGTACCGTGGGGAGCAGCTTTACGTTCCTGAAGGTGATGCTCGAAGGTTGGTCCTGATGGCGTGCCACGATAGCCCGACTGCTGGTCATTTCGGCATTGCGAAAACCTATGAGCTAGTTGGACGGGACTTTTGGTGGCCTCACATGGATGACTACATCAAAGCTTTTGTTACCTCCTGTGACACTTGTGCTCAGAATAAGGTACCTCACCACCTTCCTTCAGGTTTGCTTCATTCCCTCCCGGTCCCTTCAGGTCCTTGGGAATCCATCTCCATGGATTTCTTGAGTGATCTTCCGAGTTCTGGAGGCTTCAACAGTATTTTAGTCATGGTGGATCGCTTCACAAAGATGGCGCACTTCTTGCCGTGTACCAAGGAATTTTCGGGCGAGGACATGGCAAAACTGGTATTCAGGGAAATTTTCCGACTTCATGGGATTCCTACAGATGTGGTTTCGGATCGGGGGCCTCAGTTCATCTCTCATTTCTGGCAACGGTTTTTGCAGCTGCTTGGAGTGAAGGCCAACCTCTCTTCGGCATATCATCCTCAAACTGATGGACAATCCGAGCGAACGATTCAGACGCTGGAACAATTCCTGAGGTGCTTCATCAACTATCATCAGGATAACTGGTTCGATATCCTTCCCCTTGCTGAGTTCTCCTATAACAACTCTGTTCACTCCTCTCTTCGAGTTTCCCCCTTCTTTGCGAACTCTGGCCGAAATCCCCGATTCAATCTCTCACTTCCTTCTCCATCTGAATCCTCTCGTTTAAATCCCCGCTCTGAGGCATTTATCTCCAACCTTCAGGAAATCCACAACTCCATCTCCTTCCACCTCCATCGTGCTCAGGAATCTCACAAAACATTTGCCAATATCCATCGTCAGGATTGTCCCCCTTACAATATCAGGGATAAAGTCTGGCTCCTCAGGCGAAATATCTCCACCACCAGGCCCTGTCCAAAACTCGATTTCAAATGCCTCGGTCCTTTTCCTATCACTGCCATCATTAATCCCGTCACTTATCGCCTTGCACTTCCCTCCTCATATCAAATTCACCCCGTTTTTCACTCCTCTCTCCTTGAGCCTTATATTCCCAGTCCTATTCCAAATTGGGTCATTCCTCCGCCTCCACCAGTGCAGCTCGAGGATGGGTCTGAGTACGAGGTTCAAGACATCCTTGATTCCAAGATTTCACGGTCTAAACTCTACTATCTGGTCGACTGGAAGGGTTATGGACCTGAGGAACGCACTTGGGAACCTGCGGACAACCTGATTCATTCTCCTGACCTTGTTCAGGACTTCCACCGCCGCTATCCTTCTCGTCCCAGTCCTCATTCTTTTTCTCCATCTCGCCGCTCATCTCATCCTCCTCTTTGTTCTCGTTCACATCCTCGTTCCACTCGTTCTTGAGGAGGGGGTGCTGTCAGGAATCCCCCAATTCATGCCACATTCCTGACTCTCGCCGGATTCCTGACCTGCAGACCACATTCCTGACTCTCGAGACACTTCCCTATTCTTGACTCTCGAGACACTTCCTTATTCCTGACTCTCGAGACACTTCCCGATTCTTGAGTCTCGAGCCATATTCCTGATGATGATGTGGCGCCTCCTCGACCTCAGCTATATTTAGGCCGTCCTCGATCCAAGAGTGGTGGAGCTTCATCAACCTATAGTATATATAGGTTAGCCTTGTTCCATTTCTCCACAATCTGAATCAACACCAGTCTAAGGCCTCTTCTTTGTTTCCACTAGCTTTTCTCTTTGTCTTTAGCATTTTCTAGTCTTGATCTTGTTGGGGGTCTTGACAGTTGGGGAAATAGTTCCTGAGTGTTCAAAGAGATGGCTTTGAATGAAAGTCGATAGTTAAGGATTTTCACACTTATACATAAAACTATATTAAGCTAGTTAGGTGACTTGCTAAGTGAGATTGGCAAGTCGGGAGAACAAAAACCCTAGTGGAAGGTGTTGACTTCAAAGAGGGGTAGCCCATAGAGCCAAGTATGGAGGAGTTCATGCATGATTACAGACTTGTCAAGTGAGAGGATTTGGCAATTCAGAGGAACTAAGTTCCTAAATTGTGATCAATAACACACTTTAAGTATAAGTTGGTGCACCAACATAGGGAGTTATACTAGGTATCTTGGGTGATGCCTCTCGTAGATACATGTGAAGGTTGAGTTTGAGTCCCAACTCTTTAGTGCTTGAGTTCGAGTCCCAACTCACTAGGGCATGGTGATGGTTTGGAATATGAAAACATTCATTTTCTGGAGGTCATGAACTCTTAGTAAGGAGATTGGCTTGGGTATACCGCCAAACGGGGGATGCCTTAGAGTCATGATGCATGGTTAGATTTCTTAGTGTGAAAGCTCAATATATCTAACTTAAACATTTTGGTGCAAGTGGCATAAAAGATGTGGTGAATTGGATGTGGACACCCAATCTTAGTTACTATAGACCCTTGGCCAGAAGGGCTAGTTTGGGCATACTACCAAGTGTGAAGGATGCCCTCAAGGTCATTGTCAACAACTTAAAGGTTTGAAAGGCTTAATACTTATTGGCAAATCTGTTAAGATTAGGTTACTAGGTGTTAAAAAAGGACAAATCCCTTGTTTGGTTAAGGAATAGGAAAGTGGTGATTTGAACTGTTGGTAATAGTGTGACTTAGTCAAAGTGACCAAGTGGGAAAGACACTTAAAGGGAAATCAAGGGTGTCAATGCGATGGTATAGTGAGTCTAAGAAAGTAATTTTTAGGAAATACTTATAGGAGGGCTATAAAGTTGGGCTGTGGATAAAGCTTACAGTAAAAAATGCTAAAAAGACTTATTAGGGGTAAACACCCTCTGGATTTAGCAAAGCAAAGCCTTAGTTATGGAACTAAAAGGATACTTCAATGATGGAAGTAGTGATCCTACATTATTTAGTGAAACGATCAAAGGATAAAGGCAAAATATGAAAGATCTCACAAAGGGCAAGCAAGAAGATATCACTTAACATCAAGAGAGCTATAGAAATCATTGGAAAAAATCTAAATGGTAAAGTTAGGCAAAGAACACTTATATGTTGGATGCTAATAGATCATGGGAAAGAAAATATATTTCCAATGATGGATTCCCAAATACTTCAATTTGGCAAAGGTGAAAGTTTTAAAAGAGGGAGTAGCAAATTAGCCAAATGATAGGGTCGTGAATTATGGATAAATAAAACTTAGTGTTTAGAGTGGCATAAAATAAAAAAGAGGATGATGGTGCCCTCAAGTAAAGAACTTCCTATGATGGAGAAGTGGAGTTTGCATAATATGTGTAATGCAAGGTGTCGGAGACACCTAAGAAATTGACTTCGAGAAATCAAAATTAAAAGTTTCAAAGTGTGATGGTTATGTTGATAGAAGCTAAAATTACTCAAGAATAAATAGTTGGATTGAGATACAAAAAGTATTTCTAATGGGTATAACTAGAACTAAACCAAACAAAGGGAAAAAACCACCACAAGTGGTTTAATGAGTCTCTAAGTGGCAATCTATCCACCAGTCTGGTCGAGAAGGCCCAAGCAATGATCCTTCACACCCAGGACGAGTGGCTTCGCAGGATCGAGGCTTGCAAGTCGCTGTCTCTAGCTCGGGCGATCGAGCATGGCGTGCGGCGCGCGGTCGCGATCAAGCACGGTGGCGATGAATCGTCCTCCTCGATCTTCATCCTCAACAAGCTGATCGAGATGTTTGGCAAATGCGGGAGTCCACAGCTCGCGAGAGAGGTGTTTGATCGATTGGACACGGCCATGCGGGACTCTTTCAGCTGGGATTTCATGCTCACGGCCTATTCCCGTAATGGGCAGCTAGAAAACGCGAAGCTCCTCTTTGATTCCATGCCGCAGCGCTCGCTCGTCTCCTGGAACATCATGCTCTCGACATATGCCCAGTGTGGGCATCTTGACTCTGCAAAGATCATCTTTGATTCTACTCCAATTGTTAGCATCGTTTCTTGGAACGCGATTCTCACTGCTTTCATCGGTCACGGCTTGCTCCTCGAAGCCACTCAAATCTTTGATTCTATGCCTGAAAAGAACCTTGTTTCTTGGACTGCCATGCTCGCGGCATATGCCCAAAAGGGTCATATCTTCTCTGCGAAAGAGATCTTCGATGCTATGCCACTTCGAGACATGATCGCCGAGACAGCCATGCTGGCTGCATACGCTCAAAACGGTAACCTCGAGCAATCCATGCGGTTGTTTGATGGAATGCCGGAGCACGACTTGGTTTCGTGCACTGCGATTCTCGTTCTATATGCCCAGAATGGTCAAATCGATCAAGCAAATACCATGTTTGATCAGATGCCACAGAGAAACTTGGTTTCCTGGACCGCAATCTTGGGACTATATGCTCAGTTCGGGAATGTGGATCAAGCACGGAACTGTTTTATTAAAATGCCACAGTGGAATGTTGTGTCGTGGACAGCTATGCTTGCAGCATATGCCCAAAACGGGCATACGTATGACGCTGAGAAGCTCTTCCAAGACATGCCCGAAAAGAATCTCGTTTCATGGACCACGATGCTCTCGCTCTACGCTGCTTCTTCGCAAATCGACGAAGCAAAGTCGGTATTTGATCGGATGCCGGAATGGGATCTCGTCTGTTGGAACACACTGATGCTTGCATATGCCCAAAAGGGTCATCTGGAGCACGCAGCACACATCTTTGACAGAGTTCTTCCAGAGCGAAGCATGGTATCGTGGACAGTGATGTTGGCTTCGTTCGCTCAAAACGGGTACATCGAAGAGGCCGAGGAGATCTTCTACCGGATGCCAGAGTGGGACTCAGTGTCTTGGGATGCAATGCTCTCGGCTTTTGCTCTAAACGGGCATCTTGGTCAGGCCGAGAAGCTCTTCCACTCAATGCCCGAGCAAAGCTCTGTCTCCTGGACCACGATGCTCGCTGGTTATGCCCAAAACACAGACAACACAGCAGCGTTTGATCTCTTCGACACGATGAAGGCAATTCACTCGCCTGGAGCAGTGTGCTTTGCGTCCATCCTCATCGCTTGCAGTCACGAAGGCAAAGTCTACACTGGGAAGTGCTCGTTCGTGTCCATGACAATGGACTACTGGATCCAGCCGACGAAGCAGCACTTCAGCTGCATGATCGATCTCCTGGGACGAGCTGGGCATTTGGATCACGCGCAGGAGCTCATACTCACGATGCCATTTGTTCCGGACATGCTCGAGTGGACGTGTCTCTTGGCTGCTTGCAAGAGCCACAATAGCCTGCACCACGGAGCTCATGCCGCGGAGCGTGTACTCTCGAGAGTTTCCACGACGACGAGCGCTAGCTACGTTCTTCTCCGGAACTTGTTCTCGCTTAGTAGTGGTGGCAAAGGTGGTGGCAGTATCAAAGTCTTCTAGCTTTCGAGTTTCACCACAAAGATCATCCACAAACGAAACGAGGGAGTGACTCGATCCAAAACATGGCAGTAGCCGTTCTTCTAGTGTTCCAGTGAGCAAAGATTTGCCATGGTGACATGAGCCCCAGCGTCAGCTTCGTTCATATCCAGCAAACGTTTGTACGCAACTCTCGCCACCACGGAATTTTTCCACTTCCAGCAGGCACCGAGAATACTTCTCCAGATCCCGGCATTTGCTTCCAAAGCCACGCTTTCCACCAAGCTCAGAGCAGCCTCGAGTTTGCCGGCTCGGCCGTAGAGATCGACCATTGCGCTATAGTGTTCTAAGCTCGGAGAAACCCCATACTTGGATGCCATCCTCTCGAAACAGCGAGCTCCTTTCTCCACAAGGCCTGCGTGACTGCAAGCCGTGAGGAAGCACAGCAACGAGCTGGAGCTCACTCGCACAAACTCGCCCTCCATCTTGCGGAAAACTCCAAGCACCTGTTGCGTGTTTCCCTGTCGACTGTATCCAGAGATAAGTGCCGACCAAATCACTGGATCGTCTCTCGCCGCGACCACATAGTCAAAAATGTGTTCAGCATCGACCATGCTGCCGCATTTACCGTACACATCCACCAAAGTCGTCACCAAGAGCTCGTTCTCTTCGAGCAAGTCTGGACGTCGATAGATCTCGGCATGGATATCTTTCGCCGACTGGAGTGAAACCAGAACTCCGCAAGCCTTGAGAGCAGCAACGAAGCCAGGAGCATCGAAGAGATCCCTCCTGCTTGCTCTTGCGAGCTCAAAGAGTTCCAGAGCCACCTCCGGCTGGCCACACTCGACATATCCCAGCAGGAGTGAAGTCCACGACGAAGAGTTTCGCTGAGGCATCTTGTCGAAAGCTGCTCGAGCGTCCAGCATGCTTCCACACTTGGAGTAAAACTCCACCAAGGTGTTGGCCACCACCATGTCGAGTTCGAATCCATGCTTGGCTGCTTCGGAATGAACCGCCATGCCTTGCTCCAAACTCTCGACCATCAACTTGGACGATGTCTCGTCGAGTTTTAGAGAGGATCTCTCTTCATCTGCCAGGGCGCAGCAAGCCTTGAGCGCAGCCACGACAGCTCTCGAGTCGGGCTTGAAAGAAGACGAGTCCCGTTCTAGCAGCATCGGCCAAAAGTATCTCAAAGACAGTCCGGCCTCCCCGTTTTCTACACATCCGAGCACGAGTGCCGTCCAAGAAACAACGTCGTGCCGCTCAATCCTCTCGAAAACTCGCACAGCATCCACCAGGCTTCCACACTTCGAGTACATGCTGATCAGTGCACTCGAAAGAACCACGTCTTGTTCTAGCTCTCCACGACCATCTTTCACGATCCGGGAATGAACTTCCATGCCTCTTTCCAGCGAAACGAGCTTCGCAACTTTATCGCCCTCAACTTGTGTGCCTGCTTCTTTCCCGGCTAAAACACTGCACGCCTCGAGAGCAGCACAGAAAGTAATGGCGTCTGGCTTGCAGGAAGCTGTAGCTTGCATCCTTGCGAAGTATTCCAGTGCCAAGTCGCCTTGCTCGTTCTCGGCACATCCCAAAATCACTGCGTTCCACAACGCAGCATCCGGCGGCTCCGCCATCTCCTCGAAAACTTTCGTAGCCTCCACAAGACTTCCACACTTTGCGTAAAGAGTTACGAGGCTGCATGCGACGTAGCTATCGCAATCGCAGCCATGGCTGATGGCTCGGTAGTGGATCTCCAAGGCGGTCTTCAAGGAAACCAACTTCAAGTGTTTTCCATCAGCCTGTCTCACACTTTGTTCTCGTTCCACAAGAGCAGTGACGGCTTTTAGTCCGGCAAGGAAAGCTCGGGCATTGATAAGCTCGTCATGAGCTTGCAAGTGCTCGAAGAGCTCAAAAGCAAGCTCCGGTTCGTCGTAGTCGGCGTAGATCGAAATCAAACTCGTCCAGTTTGAATGCGAGTGGCACGACATCCTGTCGAATGCTCGCCTCGCATCCTCCAAACTTCCACACCTGGCGTACAGATCCATGAGACTGTTGACGATACTCTTGGGAAACTTATCGCACGACAAGCTCTTCTCGGCTTGGACGTGAAGAGCCATGACTTTGTCGAGAGTTTTGAGCAGCTTTCCAGTCCCAAGTTTGGCCTGTTCTTTCGCTGCCATGCCGCCGCAAGCGTTCAAAGCAGCAGCAAACGTTACTCCGTCGGGAGCGATCGAACTATATCCATCTCTGTGTCGTCGAAGAAACCTCTGGAAAAGCTCGTAAGCCACCTCTCCTTGGCCATTCGCAGCATATCCCAAGATCAGAGCGTTCCATGACACCACATCTGGCTGCTTTATCCTGTCGAAAACTTCTCGAGCCTGCTCCATCCTTCCACACTTCGCGTAGAAGTTCACCAGGCTGGCTGCTACGAAAGCATCCCTTCCAAATCCGAGCTTCTCAGCTTGCAAGTGTAAGTCTCTCCCCTTGAGCAGCATCGCCGCCTTCTTACCATTATCTCTCACGGCCAAGTTTGCGCAAGCCTTGATCACTGCAACGAAGGTCCGCGTGTTTGGCGAGCATCCAGCAGCCTCCATGCCTGCCGAGAACAAATCCAAAGTCAGGCCAAGATCTCTGGGAGCACTAGTATCAGCATACCCGAGAAGGAGCGAGGTCCAAGCGACGACGTCGTGATGAACCATCCTATCGAAAACTCTGCGAGAATCCAGCAAACTCCCACATTTTGCGTAGGCATCCACGAGCGAGCTCGCCACAACCATGTCCTGCTCAAATCCCATCCTTGCAGCTCGAGAGTGAACTCTCATAGTTTTCTCCAAAGCCTCGATCTTTGTAAGAAGCTCACTATGGATGTTTTCTTTGCTCGCCAGGCCAGCGCAAGCTTTGATCGCTGCAGCAAAGGTCACGGCATCCGGTGGTGCTCGAGTTTGATTTTCTAGCAGCATCTCCGAGAGTGTGTCGAGCGCAAAGATCTCTTGGCCATTGTCAACGTAGCACAGGATCAAAGCGTTCCAGGAGACAGCGTCGTGGAGGGGCATGGAATCAAAGACCCTGGTCGCGTTTGCGGTGCTTCCACACTTGGAGTACATTGTAACAAGGCTGCTGGCGACCAAGAGGTTGGATTCGCTGCCGGAAGCGATCGCTCTTGCGTGGATCGTCTTTCCCTGGCCTACATTCTTGCTATTGCTGCTAGATTTGAGAACCGCCAGGAGCGCCAAGATGGTGGAGCTCCAAGATGAGAAAAATTTCTTCAAAGCTTTGCCATTGCTATGCATATACACTTTACCTCCCTTGTTCCGTTTGCCCTAAACCTTGACAACTGCAAAACTATTGCTTATTAGCTTGTGAATAATATTTGTTATTATTGGTTTGCTTAAGCAAGTGGATATACCTAGAAATATGCTTAGATATTCTAGGATATTCTACTATCTAACGGTTATTATTCATTTAGATTAATCTTGTGTTTATAATTTATAAACTTTCTTAAACCCTTTTTAGTATATTCTTTTTTATTCTACTGTTGATATGCAATAATCTTGTGTTAAAACATACTTATAATTATAAATTTTATTTGATCAATTGAATTAGTAAGTAGGAATAACATTACTATTAAGCAAACCAAGTGTTGTTACATGCAACGCATGGTAAATTATTTTCTTTCATATACTATATAAATTTTTCATGCTAGTATTAAGTGTTAAGTGATTTTTGGTGGGTTGTTGGCTGTAGAAAGCACAAATCTTTCAATTCAAATATGAGTATGTAAGTAGCTCTACCTAACATCCAAGTGCTAATTTTGTACCGAGAGATGTTGTGGCTGGCTGGGGTCAGGTCAGGTCAGGTCATTGCCAGCTAGGGCTTACCTCCAGGCACATTTATTCCATCATCAAGAATGGATTAAAACTATATTTTTCTTCTGATTGAATGAACTATAATAGAAACTTTCAGCTGGGAGGGAGCCCTCAACTTGGGGTTGAGGTCTTGCAGCTAGTAGAAAGGTCATTGTTACTCACTTGCTAGGATTATTGCTATAAGAAAGACATTTTGACCCAAGATGACTGCCAAAATTTAGAGACTTCATATTAGTGATAAGCAAGAATATTAACATTAAAACTGATGGGTGTTAAGAATATACCTTAAATATATCACCACCCCTATCCAATTTTCCCAGAAAATATCTAGCTCTAGAGAATATCTAGCTCTAGCAGATTGATATAGCAATCCCTATTGATTGAGTACCTTATTTCTATATAAGTTTTTCACTAAATGGTGTTTCAGGTAAAAGGTAATTATAAAAAATATAGTATTAATATAAATTAATTTATAGCTTGAGTTTGCAAAGTTAGTTTCAGAACACAATAGTTTAATGATATTGATGTCTATACAAGTATCACATGTTCTCAAAATGGGCATCCTCTTGCTTATTTTACAAGAAAAAATATTATTATTATTATTTCTAAAAACTTTTAAATGCTAAAATTAATTATATAATAATTGATTTTGTGAGGTCCAAGTGTATAACTACAATGCTATATACTAATATTAGCGTAGTGGGATTTTGGTAATTATCATATTAGTTTCAATCTAGACCATTTGCTCTTGTATATAAAGTAGGGTTTTTGGGCTAATTGATAGACACTGTATTCCTTTTTTATATTCCATGCACTCACATTGGCAGCATTGATAGGCACATTTGATTGTTCCTAAGGAGTGCTTGGATTTGGGATTTTGGTTTAGATCTAGCTTTTACATCGTTTAAATCTAGTTTTTTCTATTATTTTATTCTTTCCTTTCAAGATTTTAGTTTAGATCTAGCTTTTACATTGTTTAGATCTCCCTTTTTTTTAGTTTTTTTTTTTCATGTCATTTCTTTTGCTCTTTCCTTTTCATTCATCTTCATGGCAAAGTAGCAATCTTCTCCTCCTTTGACTCTGGAGTAATAATTGGTGCAATTGCTAAATGCTATGTGATTGTAGTTGAACAACCAAACTCAATTGATGGCAGCATTCATGGCATGTGGTACAGCTCCTTCTGCTCTTGGTGCTAATCTTCACATTCAGTTGGAGTTCATTTGCGAGAATCCTAGGGATGATGTGTACCATTAGTTTGATCACTTCACAGTGATTGCTACATATTATCCTTAGAATGATGCTCAACATTTGCATAAGTTTCCCACATGTTTCCAAGGGACGGCATTGCAATGGTATAATTGTTTGTGTGCAGCCACTTGTGAGGATTGGAGTATTCTCCTGGACGCCTTTAAATGCACATTCGGACATGTCAACAATTGTGATAATGCCTTCCAATAGCCATCTGAGTCGGTGATGCAATTTAGCATTTGTTTCCGAAAATCTTGTAGAACTTGTGCATGCACTTGCTCTAACCACCCTTGATAATGTTCTTCATTTGGCACAATGTTATAAGATGTCACTTCTTCCACTTCTCGTTGTATGTCCTTCAACTCCACTTCTTATGGGAGATGGTCTTGTTCCAATGAAGGTTGATGCTATTGCTACTCGAATTCAAGAACAGGGGCGAGGACATGGTTATGGCCATGATGTTCGCTATTAAGCATGTGATGAAGTTGATCACACTTATCAGCGTTGTTGGTATTTTCTGGATTAGTGGCCTCCATTTCTTGCATGAAGATCTTGGCATTAACAATGTTCTATTAGTGCTGCTGCAATGGAAGGTGTTAACACCGAGATGCATCCAAGAAACAAGGAGTCACGTGAGTAATAGAGGGACTTTGCGCGAATAAGTTAGTGGCCCTTTTTTTTTTTTTTGGGAGTATCATCAAGGGGTTCACTTGGCACCAATTCATTTAGTGTTTATTTTCTAAGCTCATTTTTATAACAAAAGGTTTCTTATTATTCTTTTCATGTTAGTTGATATAGGTTTGAGTTTATCTTCTATTGCTTGACTTGTTGCCACACATTGCTATTTACATTTGTGTCGTGCGGTAGAGTTAGTTTTCATTCTTTATGGCAACAGTTGTATACATGCATGTGCACGGGATGAGGTAGACCTAATTGTGTGTGTAAGCAATTTCGAGCTTGAGTTGCAGTTATTGCGGGTGGTGCTGAGTTAAGCTTTTGACCTCATCCTTGGTATAGATTAGTTGCAGTGCAATTATGCTAAGTGTGACTTTGAGGCTTCTCCCCTTTATCTCATACTTCCATATATTTCATCTATTCCTCTCACTTTCATACCTCTTCGTCCTTTTCCTTTTACCTTTACTTCTATTACTTTTGTCTCCTCATTACTTCCTTCTGTGTTTCCGTTTTGTTCTGCTCATCCCTTTTCTGATCCCTTTGACTGTCTTTGTGTTATAGTAGTTGATTGACTTATAAAGGAGTATGCCAATCTTTTTGAATTTGACTTATCATCTGGGGCCAAGATTGCCACACTTCATCCAATTTCAACTAGGGATGCTCATCCAATTAAAGTTTCTGTTCGTCGTTAGCCACCTAAAGAGATCAAGATTTTACATACAAATGTCAAGGAGATGTTAGAAAAGGGTGTTATTCAAAAGTTGCAGAGTCCTTGGGTATGTGAACCTCATCTTGTAACAAAGCCTAATGGGAGTATTCATTTTTACATCGACTATCATCCATTAAACAAAGTGACGATCCTAGATATATACCTTTTTCCTCACACTGTTAATCTCTTGGATCGTTTGGGAAGAAGTCATTAACTCACTAAGTTAGATTTTGCTTCTAGGTATTGGCAAGTACCAATGGCTGAAGAAGAGATTCCTAAGACTACTTTTTATACATCGTTTGGTTTATACGAGTTCTTAATGATGCTGTTTGGTTTGAGTAATACTTTAGTAACTTTCCAGCAGATGATGGACGAGGTTCTTTGCGATATGCCAAAGGTGACTGCTGACTTCATCAATGATGTCTTAATCCACTTAGAGGGGACATAGGAGGAACACAACCGCAATGTTCGTAAAGTGTTAAATCGGTTACAGGAAGTTGGTTTAAAGCTAAAGTGGTCAAAGTGTGTTTGGGTCTAAAGATATGACTTATCTTAGGTACTGTATTTCTCATAACAATTTACAAGTTGATCCTAACAAATTTATGGCTATTCTAAAATTCCCTATTCTGAAGTGTGTGAATGATATGTAGTGCTTTATGGGTAAGATGCAGTATCTCAGTTTTTTTATGGATCATCTTTCTGATTGCATTGCACCGTTGCAAGCGTTGTTGAAGTCATTAATATCATCTTTCATTTAGTTTGCAAACTGTGAGCGGAAATTCATGAATCTCAAGGAGTTATTGATAACTCCTCTAATTTTGGCATATCTTGACTACATTTGACCTTTCATTTTGCATGTGGATGCTTATGATATTGGTCTTAGAGGTATATTGATGCAAGAGAGCCCATGTATGCCTGGTCAGGGCCATCCATTATATATATATATAGTATACATTACAACCAGTAGAGGTGAACTACTCCAAGATAGAGAAGGAGTGTTTAGTAGCAATTTGGTATACATGGTTCTCAAATGTTACTGGAAGGTGATCATGCTACTGTTACTTCATTATTGAAGCAAAAGAATTTAGTTCGTCGTATTGGTCAATAGGTTTTAAAACTTCAGATATATGATTTTGATGTTGTTTATCACCCAGGGAGTTCTATAACTGATGCTAATGCCCTTTTTCGAGCTCTTCTTTCTTCTTTGCTCTCTTCTTATGTTTTTGATGAGCCTATTGTTCTAGCATCTGTGGATTTTCTATATAAGGATTGACGTTCAATGTTTATAAGGTGCAGAGCAAGATTTACCTTCTCTTGATAGGGCTTACGAGGCTCAAAAGATTGAG